ATACAGGGGTACAGGTAATATACAGGGGTACAGGTAATATTCAGGGGTACAGGTAGTATACAGGGGTACAGGTAATATTCAGGGGTACAGGTAGTATACAGGGGTACAGCTAATATACAGGGGTACAGGTAGTATACAGGGGTACAGGTAATATACAGGGGTACAGCTAATATACAGGGGTACAGGTAATATTCAGGGGTACAGGTAATATACAAGGGTACAGGTAATATACAGGGGTACAGGGAGTATACAGGGGTACAGGTAACATACAGGGGTACAGGTAATATACAAGGATACAGGTAATATACAGGGGTACAGGTAATATACAAGGATACAGGTAACATACAGGGGTACAGGTAATATACAGGGGTACAGGTAATATACAGGGGTACAGGTAACATCCAGGGGTACAGGTAACATCCAGCGGTACAGGTAATATACAGGGGTACAGGTAATATACAAGGGTACAGGTAATATACAGGGGTACAGGTAACATACAGGGGTACAGGTAATATACAAAGGTACAGGTAATATACAGGGGTACAGGTAATATTCAGGGGTACAGGTAGTATACAGGGGTACTGGTAATATACAGGGGTACAGGTAGTATACAGGGGTACATGTAACATTCAGGGGTACAGGTAGTATACAGGGGTACAGGTAATATACAGGGGTACAGGTAACATACAGGGGTACAGGTAGTATACAGGGGTACAGGTAATATTCAGGGGTACAGCTAATATACAGGGGTACAGGTAATATACAGGGGTACAGGTAACATACAGGGGTACAGGTAGTATACAGGGGTACAGGTAATATACCGGGGTACAGGTAACATCCAGGGGTACAGGTAACATTCAGGGGTACACCGGGGTACAGGTACTCCTAAGGATGGGATGATGCGTGGACCTATATGGGTTGGACTTGATGGACTTATGTCTTTATTCATCCCCAAATACTATGTAACTATGTTCCACCTGCCAAAGCATCTGTAATTCTGTTCAGTCAGTTCTGCAACCCACAGATGTCTGCCATATTGCACAGCCAGGCCGGTGACAACGTTATTTCCCATAGGACATTAGCATCTTCCTGCGTCACCCGTCTGCCCATTGGATGAACCAGGAATGTGATAAAGTTTGTTGCAGGTGACAACAGAAGCTGCAGTAGTGACCAGTGGTGTCACCCTGCTGGTTATACAGTTTGGCAGTGGCGTCACAAGGGGGGTGCAGCCCGCACCCGGGTGACACCATTGGAAGGGTGACAGCAAAATGACTGACAGTCATTTTGGTGTCACCCCATCTGAACAGTCGGGCACTCGGTCATGGACTGAGCTCCTGACAGGGGAGAGGAGGGGGGACCCGGCGGCATACCTCATCCCGACCATGTGACTGTTCCCTCCTCTCTCGGCTGGTGCCCATCACCAAGATGGCCGCCAGCAGGTATCCATAAGATCGCCACGCATGTGCGGTTTGGTCACGGTGGGGTGTCACCTGGTAGCCGCTCCGGGTGACACCCGGCCTCGGGACGCCCCGGCAGTTTGGCAGCGGTGTGTGTGTAAAGCGCCAGGCCGGCTGAACACAGTTACTACTCATCTGCCAGATAAAGACAAATTCGGGGATAGAGACCTCAAAGCGGGGACTGCTCCCGGGTAATGGGGACGGATGGTAAACCTTATCACAAATATGGGCTCTTTAAAGTGAACCTGTCAGCCATTAAACATTTTCTGCCATCTCTCTGTCCAATGGGAGGGCTTCACCATTAACAGGCAAATCTCCGCCCACCTGACTGCACCTTATCCAATAGGAGCAGTAGCTGAAGTACTTCCATTGGACAGAGGGATGACAGTTGGGCGGGGCTTCTCAGAGCAAGTCAATGTTAATTAAGGGGGCGGAGCTGGAGCCGGAGGTTCTGGCTAAACAAACATTCGCACGGCTGACAGGTTTGCAGCTTGCTCCTCGGGCCCTTTGTAGCCCGTGGGCCCCTGTGAAGACAGTTTCATCATTGCAAACATCTGATTGGTGGGTAATGTTTTTGTGTGTTTCTAATGTCTTGCAGTGCAGCAGAGACGGCGAATGCTGCGACGGGCAGCTCTGCATCTGGGGTCAGTGCAAGAAATCGGAGAAGGGGGAGAGCGGCGCCATTTGTGAGAAGCAGAGCGACTGCGTCCCCGGCCTGTGCTGCGCCGTCCATTCCAGTAACTATCTCCCCTCATTACGAAATGTGAAAACCTCAAACAGCACGTGCAGCCGATCCGTGACACTCTACAATTGTGCGCCGATCCGCGACACTCTACAATTGTGCAGCCGATCCGCGACACTCTACAATTGTGCAGCCGATCCGCGACACTCTACAATTGTGCAGCCGATCCGCTTAACGCTCCCCTCCTCATGAAACTGATTGTTGGCTTTGAATAGAGAAGGGAAAACGTTATTATTATTATAGAGGATTTATAGAGCGCCAACAGTTTGCACAGCGCTTTACAATATGGAGGGAGACAGTGCAGCTGCAGTACAGTTCAATACAAGAGGGTTAGCACTGATCCTGAGAGCTTACAATCCAAAAGTGGGAGGAGCAAGTGATACAAAAGGTAGTAAGTGTCTGGAGATGAGTTGATGGAGGAGGTAAAAGTTTGGCGTTTAGGCAGACGTGGGAGAGGCTTCCCTGGAGAGGGGAGCATTCGGGGAAGGCAGATGGGGTAGGAGATAGTTGGACAGGTTGGGGTAGGAAGTTCCAGAGGATGGGAGAAGCTCTAGAGAAGTCCTGGAGACGAGCATGGGAGGAGGTGATGAGGGAGCTGGAGAGCAGGAGGTCCTGGGAGGAGCGGAGAGGACGGTTTGGGTGATATTTTGAGATGAGGTTAGTGAAGAAGCTTTGGGTAGGGTTGGGGATGGCTTTGTATGTTATTAGTATTCTGAATGTTATTTGCTGGGTGAGTGGAAGCCACTGGAGGGATTGGCAGAGAGGGGCAGGGAATGGAAGCCAGTGGAAGGATTGGCAGAGGAGGGCAGGAGATGGAAGCCAGTGGAGGGATTGGCAGAGGAGGGCAGGAGATGGAAGCCAGTGGAGGGATTGGCAGAGGAGGGCAGGAGATGGAAGCCAGTGGAGGGATTGGCAGAGGAGGGCAGGAGATGGAAGCCAGTGGAGGGATTGGCAGAGGAGGGCAGGAGATGGAAGCCAGTGGAGGGATTGGCAGAGGAGGGCAGGAGATGGAAGCCAGTGGAGGGATTGGCAGAGGAGGGCAGGAGATGGAAGCCAGTGGAGGGATTGGCAGAGGAGGGCAGGAGATGGAAGCCAGTGGAGGGATTGGCAGAGGAGGGCAGGAGATGGAAGCCAGTGGAGGGATTGGCAGAGGAGGGCAGGAGATGGAAGCCAGTGGAGGGATTGGCAGAGGAGGGCAGGAGATGGAAGCCAGTGGAGGGATTGGCAGAGGAGGGCAGGAGATGGAAGCCAGTGGAGGGATTGGCAGAGGAGGGCAGGAGATGGAAGCCAGTGGAGGGATTGGCAGAGGAGGGCAGGAGATGGAAGCCAGTGGAGGGATTGGCAGAGGAGGGCAGGAGATGGAAGCCAGTGGAGGGATTGGCAGAGGAGGGCAGGAGATGGAAGCCAGTGGAGGGATTGGCAGAGGAGGGCAGGAGATGGAAGCCAGTGGAGGGATTGGCAGAGGAGGGCAGGAGATGGAAGCCAGTGGAGGGATTGGCAGAGGAGGGCAGGAGATGGAAGCCAGTGGAGGGATTGGCAGAGGAGGGCAGGAGATGGAAGCCAGTGGAGGGATTGGCAGAGGAGGGCAGGAGATGGAAGCCAGTGGAGGGATTGGCAGAGGAGGGCAGGAGATGGAAGCCAGTGGAGGGATTGGCAGAGGAGGGCAGGAGATGGAAGCCAGTGGAGGGATTGGCAGAGGAGGGCAGGAGATGGAAGCCAGTGGAGGGATTGGCAGAGGAGGGCAGGAGATGGAAGCCAGTGGAGGGATTGGCAGAGGAGGGCAGGAGATGGAAGCCAGTGGAGGGATTGGCAGAGGAGGGCAGGAGATGGAAGCCAGTGGAGGGATTGGCAGAGGAGGGCAGGAGATGGAAGCCAGTGGAGGGATTGGCAGAGGAGGGCAGGAGATGGAAGCCAGTGGAGGGATTGGCAGAGGAGGGCAGGAGATGGAAGCCAGTGGAGGGATTGGCAGAGGAGGGCAGGAGATGGAAGCCAGTGGAGGGATTGGCAGAGGAGGGCAGGAGATGGAAGCCAGTGGAGGGATTGGCAGAGGAGGGCAGGAGATGGAAGCCAGTGGAGGGATTGGCAGAGAGGGGCAGGGAATGGAAGCCAGTGGAAGGATTGGCAGAGTTGGGTGGGGAATGGAAGCCAGTGGAAGGATTGGCAGAGTAGGGCAGCAGATGGAAGCCACTGGAGGGATTGTCAGAGAGGGGCAGGGAATGGAAGCCAGTGGAGGGATTGGCAGAGTTGGGTGGGGAATGGAAGCCAGTGGAAGGATTGGCAGAGTAGGGCAGCAGATGGAAGCCACTGGAGGGATTGTCAGAGAGGGGCAGGGAATGGAAGCCAGTGGAGGGATTGGCAGAGTTGGGTGGGGAATGGAAGCCAGTGGAAGGATTGGCAGAGTAGGGCAGCAGATGGAAGCCACTGGAGGGATTGTCAGAGAGGGGCAGGGAATGGAAGCCAGTGGAGGGATTGGCAGAGTTGGGTGGGGAATGGAAGCCAGTGGAAGGATTGGCAGAGTAGGGCAGCAGATGGAAGCCACTGGAGGGATTGTCAGAGAGGGGCAGGGAATGGAAGCCAGTGGAGGGATTGGCAGAGTTGGGTGGGGAATGGAAGCCAGTGGAAGGATTGGCAGAGTAGGGCAGCAGATGGAAGCCACTGGAGGGATTGTCAGAGAGGGGCAGGGAATGGAAGCCAGTGGAGGGATTGGCAGAGTTGGGTGGGGAATGGAAGCCAGTGGAAGGATTGGCAGAGTAGGGCAGCAGATGGAAGCCACTGGAGGGATTGTCAGAGAGGGGCAGGGAATGGAAGCCAGTGGAGGGATTGGCAGAGTTGGGTGGGGAATGGAAGCCAGTGGAAGGATTGGCAGAGTAGGGCAGCAGATGGAAGCCACTGGAGGGATTGTCAGAGAGGGGCAGGGAATGGAAGCCAGTGGAGGGATTGGCAGAGTTGGGTGGGGAATGGAAGCCAGTGGAAGGATTGGCAGAGTAGGGCAGCAGATGGAAGCCACTGGAGGGATTGTCAGAGAGGGGCAGGGAATGGAAGCCAGTGGAGGGATTGGCAGAGTTGGGTGGGGAATGGAAGCCAGTGGAAGGATTGGCAGAGTAGGGCAGCAGATGGAAGCCACTGGAGGGATTGTCAGAGAGGGGCAGGGAATGGAAGCCAGTGGAGGGATTGGCAGAGTTGGGTGGGGAATGGAAGCCAGTGGAAGGATTGGCAGAGTAGGGCAGCAGATGGAAGCCACTGGAGGGATTGTCAGAGAGGGGCAGGGAATGGAAGCCAGTGGAGGGATTGGCAGAGTTGGGTGGGGAATGGAAGCCAGTGGAAGGATTGGCAGAGTAGGGCAGCAGATGGAAGCCACTGGAGGGATTGTCAGAGAGGGGCAGGGAATGGAAGCCAGTGGAGGGATTGGCAGAGTTGGGTGGGGAATGGAAGCCAGTGGAAGGATTGGCAGAGTTGGGTGGGGAATGGAAGCCACTGGAGGGATTGGCAGAGTAGGGCAGGAGATGGAAGCCAGTGGAGGGATTGGCAGAGAGAGGTGGTGGACACTGAGCGCTCGGTAAGGTGGACGAACTAGTAACTTATGTTACACATTACTCTAAGAGACCTGAGACACTGAGCCGCGTGCTACGGAGCCACACTAAGTGACCTGGGATTATTCCCCTCCATTCCCGGAGGAGTAGGGAGTAGAGAGCAGCTTCAAGTAACATCTATTCTACACCTTTACTTCAGCTCTCAGTTGACCTCTTTATCTATATGTAGCCAGGATGGGTTTGTGGCTATTGGCTGTGACGGTTCTCATTCATCCAGGTCATGGTATGGCTAATAGTAGGAGTTCACATTCAGATGGACTTGTTCCAAAGACACTTCAAAGCTCAACAAAGTGAGTGTTAGTTCACCTCTGTAGCCTCCGACCTCTGTGTCTCAGATCTTCTCAATGAGTGGCGGGAACATCTCCAGGATTTTTAGCCTCTTTTGGCAATTGTTTTATTGTTTTGAGATCTGTGAGGTAATATCTCACTAAACACGGAGGTGGAAACATTGGAAGCAGCTACGATACTATGTAAACATGAGATTGTATATTTCCCATATGTAGGTGATACGATCTAGGTCCTTCTAGGTCAGTGGTTCTCAACCTGTGGGTCGCGACCCAAAAGAGGGTCGCAACCCACAGTTGAGGGGGTCCCCATGTGCCTTGTGCTGCTCTAGGTAAGAGGCTCCTCAGCCTCCTCCTAGCGCAGCAGTGTCAGTTCTCCTAGATGGCGCTGCAGCATCAGCGACCGGAGAGGATCAAAGAGAGGGGAGCGGGCAGGAGTGAGGGGAGGTGAGTGCTTGATCACCACAGAGCCCGCACTGGACTCCACCAGAGTCCCACTAGCCACCTGAGAGCCCGCATAGTCTCCCGAGAGCCCGCACAGATACTAGTATTGGTGCATCCCTAAATTTTACGGTTGGGGGGTCACCACAACCTGGCAAATGTTACCAAGGGGTCCCGGCCCTAGAAAGGTTGAGAACCACTGCTCTAGGTGAACATTTGTAGACCCGTTGTCTTTGTCTTTCAGATCTTCTCTTTCCAGTCTGCACTCCTTTGCTGGTCAGGGGTGAGGAGTGCCAGAACTCAAACTCACTCCTAGATATATTTTCCTGGGATATGGAGTCAGACGCCCCTCTAAACCGCTGTCCCTGTGACAGAGGACTGATCTGCCAGGCTCAGAGGTCAGTATCCACGTTCGACCTTCACTGTTCCCATGAAAACCTGTTACATGAGAAAGGATTTGCAGTTAATGTCCCGCCAGGACACTTCCCATTGGGTCCATTGGTGGGGTTCTCACAAGGTCTTGAAAAGTCCATTGGTAGCGTGATGATGTCACAATCAAGGGTGGCAAGAAAACTGGTATGTGGTGACTGTGAGGCCCAACTAGATCGCTGGATCACCAGTCCTCACTACTGGAAGAGGCCCCGTGTAGTGTCACATGATGACGGATTCAGATAAGTAAAAAGCAGGCTTAGGAAGGGTTATTCTCTTGTGAAGTGATGGAGGTTGTTACCAAAGTGTTCAGAGATCGGCTTTTTAAGGTCATTTTTTATAGTATTGGATGGAGTGGCCAACACAAAGAACCTGAAAGCAAATCCCCCCCACCCCCACCCCCACCCAGGGACATAAAAAAAAACAGCTCAAAGAAGGTCCTAACCTTTCCTCAATCTCCATTTCATTCAGTAACAATGAAACTTAACCATTGGCCTTATCTAATCCCTTAACATTTACCCCAATCCTAGAAGTTAACCCCATTCCTCCCCAGTAGGGGTTTAAACCTGCTTTGGCCGCAGTTATTCCTCTCTGCCCCAAGATGTCCTCAGTCTTCTGGGTTGCAGGAAGGCCAGCATGAGTCAACCCAGAAGGCCGAGGCCATCCAGATAGTACAAGGTGTCATGGGCTCACCCTCTGAAAGGTCATCACCAAGGGTGGTGTTAGGACAGGGCTGGACTTCCATCAATGTTGACCCAAAAGCTAAAATATCTCCTGAACTATCGGGGTGATACATTACTCGGAAGGTCAATGCTTTGGCGCTGATTTGTACCAGTCTTGGCCAATAATGGTGCCAATCATTTCAGGCACTAAAACAGCATCGCCTATTGATATACCTTGGCTTAAAGCCATCCTGAGATAGCGGAATGGAACCTATTAGACATGTAAGCTGTGGAAAAAAACGGTTTGCTTTGGTTTGGATATTTTCGGAATTTGGGATTCGGATCCGAAATTCAATTTTGTTCGGGTTTCGGATTCAGTTTCGGATGCGTTTATGAATATTTGTTGCAAATACCACAGAAAACCATATACAGGTATTACTAAAGCTGAATCTCCCAGACCCGAATGGCATTCAGGTACTCCCAAAAGCCATTCAGAAATTCGGATCCTGAATGCGATTCGGGTCTGGGCGCCGCAGCTTTAGTGATATATGTATATGGCTCCCGGACCCGAATCGCATTCGGGATCCCAATTTCCGAATTGCATTTGGGAGCTCCCAAAGTACTACATGTATATGGCTCCCAGACCCGAATAGCATTCAGGGGCTCCCGAATGCAATGTGGAAATTCAGAACCCGAATGCGATTCGGGTCTGGGAGCCTCAGCTTTAGTATTATATGTATATACCGTATATGTCTAGAACCTGTTTTTGATGGCGTACATAGGGGACGTGGGGGGGGACATGTATGTTGATGCTTCCTCTAAAAGTTCTGGAGTGAAAAGCCTTTCGGAAACTTTTCCACCCATCGTTCAGTGCATTGCCCTCTGTAACCAGCGGTGACCCGCGACTACCTCCCCCTGACTTTTCCCCTTGTGTTTATTCGCAGTGACGGTCTAGCGCTCGTCTGCGAGGAACTTCCCCTGCAGAGCAAGAGGGAGGATATGATGCAGCTGCCATTTTTCACCCCCATACCGCAGGAAGATATCATCTACGAAGACGGTATTGATTCGCCCGCAGGGATCGGCGCCGATTTCGCCACTTCCGAAGATGAGAGAGATGTGGAATTCGATTCGGAGCAACCATTTGTGGACTACATCTAGAGGACTGATCGCCGACGATGAACCTCGGGAGGGCGGCGGGGTGAAGAACTGACCGGCGTAAGACGGAAATGGACACAAAAATATTCTCCAAACTGGATAAAACCCCCATTAATCACGAGGAGCTTGGGCGCTATCGCTTTGGTTGGCATGGCGCCCACACGTACATAGGAACCTTTCACTATTCCTTACCCCCCAGATCTATCGTATGGCGCTACACAGAGCATATCTATCATAGGTCTAGCTCGGGGGTCGCAGTTTGCCGTAGTTACGGAATTTTGCTATTTGCCCCCATAAAATGATACATTGAGCAGCATAAATAATACACGTCTCACTAAACCACAGGGCCCTGCCCACTTCTTCCCCCCGCAAACAAAACTTTATTGTGCAAACAGCCCAGAGACGCTCCATCAGCCCCTTCCTTTGTTGCATTTCGCCCCCTACTGGAGCTCAATCATGGAGTTGCCTCTCTATGGAAGCCTCAGTAGGGGGTGAAATGCGTCAGTGATAAGAGTGTCTCTGTGAAGTTTTGCTTGTGGGGGGAAGAAGTGGTATGCCACTTCACGTTAGCAAGGGGCGGTGGTGGGGCTAGGGGGAGGTGACGGAGCTCAAAGTCTTGCTGACACCCTTGGCTAGAGTGCAGCACGGGACCTCAGAGCGGTGTTCAGGAAAATATTCAATGATAATGACCAGCCCAACATAGGTATTTACATACATATTCTGGCTAGCAGGGCCGGCTGGGCTTGTAGTCAGCTGCTGGTCTCCAGTCGCAGCCACGGGATCTTCTCTATGACATTTCATTATTTATTGGTTACTGGATAAATGGGTCGCCCGTGCTTTACCCTGCAGGGGCCCCGTATACCTGCTGCCTGGTACTGCTGAGTATGGAAGACACCGTGAGTCCCGTTCCTGCCACATGATGGCGCCGGTGATTGGCTGCTGTGCACCCAGCGCTATCACATGGGGGAAGGGAAAGTCACCAGCCCTGTGTAAGCTCCAAGTCATGATTTGCAGCTTGTACAGGTCCTCTTCTCCTTGTTCCCAGGGGCCAAACAAGGGAGGTAACCTTTAAGCATCCATGGGGGGGGGGGGGGCCCAAAACCTGGAAAACACACAGAGGAACTTTAAACTGGAGCAAAAAGCAAATGTGTGTGCCCGACCCTCTATAGCCAGGTATAGGAAACCTTGGTGAACCTACAAATTCCATCATGTCTGTGGCTGTCAGAGTCTTGCAATGCCTCATGGGATTTGTAGTTTCACCACAGCTGGAGTGCCGAGGTTGCCTAACCCCTGACATATAGACGTAGAGCAGAGGTGGCGAAGCTCCAGCTGCGATGAAACTACAAGTCCCATGAGGCACTGCAAGATTCTCTCAGCCACAGCCCAGAGACAGATGCATCATGGGATTTGTAGCTTCACCCCAGCTGGAGGTTCTGCACCCCTGACGTAGAGTCCCACAACCACCAATAGGATTGGTAAATTGGACCAAAGATTGATGGAACCGATTGGGAAAAGACCCTCCGCTGCAGCTTTGCCAAATGCCGGGACCAGAATGCTGTAGAATAAAGCCCCCGCTTCCCTTTCTTCCTCCTGAATTTGTTCCCTGCGTCAGCTTCTCATTTCACCTCTGTGTGTAAAACACGAACACGTTTTATTCAAGATGGCGACTCCAACAAGGAAAGGAGAAGACCTCCGCGGCCTCTGCCCCATGGCAATGCGGAACAGTCGTCTCCTGTGAAGAGGGCGGGGCTCCTGCCTTGGCCAAGTAGGCATTTGCCCACATGGCCAACGACCCGGGCCGAGACAGGAGCCCCGCCCTCTTCACAGGAGACGTGTGTTCCACGTCCCCCTTCGTGTCAGATTCGCCGCCTTGATTAAAAGCCGGAGCATAGCGTTGTCGCCTTGTGCTGAGCTGTCCAGGCCCATTGTCTCTCTCTCTGCTGGATGGAAATGCAATAATCCCGAATTCATTGTTGTCCAGTCGCCATTGGGGGAGGGGAGCTCGCGGGTTTTCGGCTGAATACAAAATGATCTATTTAATGTTCATCACCTTAATAAACTGTTTTAATAATTGAGTCTGTCACACGTGTGTGCGTGTGGTGTGTGCGTGTGTCGCCTCCAGGAGCCCAAATGTTTTTTCTTTTCACACCGCGAAATCTATTTACTCAACTCGCTAAATAATCAGATTGTATTTTTATTTCACCGCGTGCTGGACGTTACTCCGCGTTTTATTATTATTCCAGATTTAGGGCCCATTCACACCACATCCGAATCATCTCCGGACCAGACCCGATTGTTTCCCGACCCAAATGCATCCTAATGTATCCCCTATGTTATTTCTGGCCTCTGTTCACACCGGCGCAGTCCTTCCAGACCAGAAAAATACGGCCGGTCTCATTGTGTCTGGTCTGGAATGCGCTGGAACACACCTGAAAGGCCATTTTAAGCTGACCAATCAGGAAGCCAGGCAGGGAGTCATTCCAGGGAAGCCGGCTCCACGTTCCCTCGTCTGACCTTCCAGCATGTCTTTGGAGGTGTGGGAGGAAACCCACACAGCACAGGGAGAGCATGCAAACTCCATGCAGATAGTGACCTGATTCTGTTTTTTTTAAATTTATTGGCATGTTTCATCGGTGTAAACAGCGGCATGAAAAAAAATTATCAAAACCTTTATATATCGATCTGTTACAAATTAGATGGCAATTTTCCAAAAGGTAGGCGAAGATCCGTTACATATGTGGTTTGCACACGCGTGTTGTGTGTGTATATGGTGTGATGCGTGTGTATATATGGTGTGTGTGTGGTGTGCGTATATGGTGTGTGTGTGTATATGGTGTGTGTGTGTGGTGTGATGTATATGGCGTGTGTGTGGTGTGTATATATGGTGTGTGTGGTGTGTATATATGGTGTGATGCGTATGGTGTGTGTGTGTGGTGTATATATGGTGTGTGTGGTGTATATATGGTGTGATGCGTATGGTGTGTGTGTGTGGTGTATATATGGTGTGTGTGGTGTATATATGGTGTGTGTGGTGTATATGGTGTGATGCGTATGGTGTGTGTGTGGTGTATATGGTGTGATGCGTATGGTGTGTGTGTGTGGTGTATATATGGTGTGTGTGGTGTATATATGGTGTGATGCGTATGGTGTGTGTGTGTGTGTGTGTGGTGTATATATGGTGTGTGTGGTGTATATGGTGTGATGCGTATGGTGTGTGTGTGGTGTATATGGTGTGATGCGTATGGTGTGTGTGTGTGGTGTATATATGGTGTGTGTGGTGTATATATGGTGTGATGCGTATGGTGTGTGTGTGTGTGTGTGTGGTGTATATATGGTGTGTGTGGTGTATATATGGTGTGATGCGTATGGTGTGTGGTGTATATATGGTGTGTGTGGTGTATATGGTGTGATGCGTATGGTGTGTGGTGTATATGGTGTGATGCGTATGGTGTGTGTGTGTGGTGTATATATGGTGTGTGTGTGTGTGGTGTATATATGGTGTGTGTGTGTGTGGTGTATATATGGTGTGTGTGTGTGTGGTGTATATATGGTGTGTGTGGTGTATATATGGTGTGTGTGTGGTGTATATATGGTGTGTGTGTGTGTGTGGTGTATATATGGTGTGTGTGTGTGTGTGTGTGGTGTATATATGGTGTGTGTGT